CCCGCCCCCCCAGAAAGGACACACGCTGGGCAGTGGCTGCACCTGCTCTCTGCCCGTGACCTCAGGCAGCGGTCCACACGGGGGCTGCAGACAGATGCTTGCTCACGGCAGCCCTCTTACCCACCGCGGCAGGAGGGCCCACCCACGGTCCCCGCAGTGACCCCTGACCCGGCCCCCCACCCCCGTCACCTTAATGTGCTTGTACGGCGGGGGCTTGCGCTCACTCTCCTGTGTTTCTCTGGCTTCCCTTTGAAGTTTGATTTCACGAAAACGAGCTTCGGCTTCCTGCAGTGCTAAAAAGTCCACGAAATGTGAGCGTGAGTAAGAGGTTTACTAAACGCACACCTCCACCTACAGGCTCTGCGTCTAAACGGCCGACGCAAGCCTCCGTGTCCCGCCAAGTGCGGTTACCGGTGTCCAGGAGGCTCTGGGGTGCGCACGCTGTTCAGGGCGGGTGCTTTAAATGCCGCGAGGGTCTTCCACCCAAGATGCTCAGAGAGCGCCGGGCCGAGGAGGCCTGGGAGGCGCTGTGCCGTGCCACCTGCCACCAGGAAGGCCCAGGGCGGGTTTCTCTGGGAGGCTGACGCTCCAGCTCTCACTGCCCACGGGGATCTAACATCCTCCCGGGAGGACACGTCCTCTGGGAGGGGGCGGGGGTGGCACCGGGCTCGAGCGAGGGCGGAGGACGCCCTGCGTGCTGGGGCCACCCTGACCCCCAGGACTCAAGTCTGACCTCACTACCCGCCAGCGGACTCCAGCACGTTAAGTCTCAGTTTCAACATCTGTCATCTCATTACGAGTTTTGAAAATCTTTCTCATCAGACCTTTGCTCTCCGCCGTGCGTGAGGCCCACAGGAGACAAGACGCCGGTCTGTCAGCACAGCCCACCCAGCCACCCCCACGTGCCACCGGCCGCGATGCGCCCGCCCTCCGTGGACTAGGACGAGCCGAACGCACGCCAAGTCCCCCTTCTGTCCCACTCACTCTCGGCCCCGAGTAAATGCCACCTCCTCCAGTCAGGCGGTGGCATTCCCATCCCGTCAGTCACCCTGGCTGTGGAATCAGAGAGCGGGGCACCTGTCTACCTACCCACACCTGGCCCTTCCCGGGGCACCCGGTCTAGGCGGCGGCAAAGTCTTCTCCACATTTCTATCTTACATAACAGGCAAGGCAGAAGACAGCTCTGTAAACCAGCACTGGAATAACTTCTTCTAAGTAACTTCCACTGCGGGGCACCAGGGGGGGGGCTCAGTCGGTCAAGAGACCGACTCTTCCTTTCTGCTCAGGTTATGGTCTCGGGGTCGTGGGATCGAGCCCCGCGTCGGGCTCCACACTGACGTTGCAGAGCCTGCTTGGGATTGTCTGCTCTCTGCCCCTCCCCCGCTCACTCTCTCAAAATAAACTTAAAAAAATTTTTTTAAATAAAAATAGAGCTTCCAATGCATGTGAGTGAAATTAATCCCAAACCAATGCTGTAAACGTTACTCGGGAGTACATTTTATCCTGTGCCTCAACAAATCAGTCTGCAAACCTATGTTTTCCTAATTTAAAGCACGGCTAGAATGCTTAGCCTGGTGTTCTCTACAGAAACCAAACTTTCAAACAACAAAAATCAGGGTTAGCAGAAGGTACCCGAGAGTGCGGTTTTGCTCCGCCTGGAAATGTCCGTACCGTTTTTGAAGACTCTTCCGATCCCTCTGACCCCCTGGTAGCGGCTGCCCCGGTCCCCCTCCATGTACGGGAACACTCGCGCCTGATGCGTCCAGTAATAATCTTTAGACCCAAAGAAAAACACAGGGAATTCTCCAATCTCGTGCTTCATTTTCTGAATATTTGGGGGAACATTTTTGGGATGGCAAACTTCTGCCGGCCACCATCTATTATAAATATTAAAAACAGGGTTCACAGACTCTTCAGACAGAGTGACAGTCATTCAGCGCTTTCAGTCCTGCAAAGTGAAAAGAACACAGTGAACAAGGAGGCAGACAGGGTTCCGGTCCTCACACCTGTAGTTCCCCAGTTTAACCCAGACGACGTCCTGGAAGTGCAGCTTCTTCCCGGCTCGGCACTCGTTGCAGAACCAGCTGCCGTCGGGCATCTCGATGCTCAGGCAGTCGGGGTGGAAGGCCGCCGGGCAGGACTCACAGCACAGCAGGCTTCCCCCTGCAAGGGAGGGCGAGCGGCTCACACTGGCCCTTCCCGACCCGCAGCCACCCCGCCCCTCGCTCCACGACGCGAGCCTAACCACGGCCGGCCGTCGGGGCGCAACGAAACAAGCCCGTTTTATTGGCATCATGGGGAACTCGCCCTCCGGCGGCGCGCCGGCCTCCGTGAGTTCAGAAACGTCACGGCGCACACCGGCACGGGAGCACTTGGGAGACATCGGGGGCGTCCCCACCCCCGGAGCAGGGCGGGCGCGGAGGCCCCAGGGGTTACCTGCGAGAGCTGTACGCGAGGGAACCCAGAGAAGCAGCCCGCCCTGGCCGCCCGCCGTGGCGCCAGCCCTCACCTTTGGAGCACACGAAACACCAGCTCACGTTCACGTGAGCGTGATGCCTCTTCCCCTTGCGGGCAGTGAAATGGCTTGTGCAGATGATGCTGTGGGAAGCGATCACGGAGCAGCCGGCCGCCAGACAAGCGTCCCCTCCGTGGTAGGCGACGGGGCAGCGGACGCACCGCATCATTTTCCCTGGGGGCAGAGACACGCGCTGAAGGCCCGACAGCGAGCAGGGCGGCGAGAGGCGACCGAGCCCCCCACGCGTTTAGAAAATTCACGCTGAAATAAACTCGGGAGTATTTGACGAAAGCAGTAACCAGGATGGAAAGAACACTTAATAGATGTTACAAAAACACATCTCCCCCAGGCAAAGGTGCTTCAAAACCATCAAGAGAATTGTCAATCACTTAAAATGCCTTATTCTCTCTCTCTCTTTTTTCTTTTTATTTATTTTTTTTAATTTTTTTTTCAACGTTTATTTATTTTTGGGACAGAGAGAGACAGAGCATGAACGGGGGAGGGGCAGAGAGAGAGGGAGACACAGAATCGGAAACAGGCTCCAGGCTCCGAGCCATCAGCCCAGAGCCCGACGCGGGGCTCGAACTCACGGACCGTGAGATCGTGACCTGGCTGAAGTCGGACGCTTAACCGACTGCGCCACCCAGGCGCCCCTCTTTTTTCTTTTTAAATAAAAGTTTATTTATTTTTGAGAGATAGAGAGGCGAAGCATGAGTGAGGGGAGGGGCAGAGACAGAGGGGGAGACAGACTCTGAAACAGGCTCCAGGCTCCGAGCTGTCAGCACAGAACCCGACGCGGGGCTCGAACCCACGAACTGCGAGATCTTGACATGAGCGGAAGTGGGACGCTCAACCCGCTGAGCCCCCCAGGCGCCCCGCCACATTCTTAAATAAGGTCAAGCAGGGCTGATAAACCCAGGCACCGCCAGCCCGTGGGGCCTGTAGTGCGTCTCGCAACGGCTCCAGCCTCTACCCACTGGGTGCCAATCTGCACCCCCCAAGGTCTCCCCAGACGTGGCCCAGTGTTCCTGGCAAGCAACATCGCCACGGCTGAGAACCACCGGTGTCAGAAGTACAGATAGCCCGCCGTCCTCAATCCCACACACCTAACGCGAAATAAGGCAGATACGACTTGATGTTAAAGTACCTTCCTCAGGGCGCCTGGGTCGCTCAGTCGGTTAAATGTCCGACTCCCTTGCTTTCAGCTCAGGTCACGTCACGATCAATCGTGAGATCAAGCACGGAGCCTGCCTGAGATTCCCTCTCCCCCTCCCCCCCAGCCTCACTTTCTCTGCCTCTAAATGAACAGATGAATAGAACATTTTTCTCATATACTGAAGAAGCACTAAAACTGGAACAAACATACGGGCACCTGGGAGGCTCAGTCAGTTAAGCATCTGGCTACAGCTCAGGTCATGGTCTCGCGGTTCGTGAGTTCGAGCCCCGCCTCGGGCTCTGTGCTGACAGCTCCGAGCCTGGAGCTCGGAGACAGCTCTCTCGCTCTCTCTCCGCCCCTCCCCTGCTCATGCTCTCTCTCTTGAAAATAAATTTAAAATTTTTTTAAAAATTAAAAACTGGAACAAACAGAACCTATCAGAATGGTTCACAGGCCCCCCTCCTAAAGTGGAGGCTCCGGGAGGACACGGAGGGCAGGAAGAAGGCACGGCAGGGCGGATCCTCTTACCGACTTCTCGAGAAAAACCCTGCTAGCCAGTGTCGAGTCAGTAACAGAAAGACAACCGCCACTCCGAAGAAAAACCGAAGGCCTTTGGGGACAGACCTTTCGGCCACCGCGCCCGCCTCCCGTGAGCGCCCGTACCTTTCGACGGCCTGGGGTTGGAAGGGTTGGACGCGTGGCAGGTCACGCAGCTGTGCAGGGGGCAGCGGAAGCCTCGGCTCTCGAACACGGTCAGAGGGTACTTCCTCACACAGGCTTCGTGGTAGAACTTCCCGCACTGCGACACGACGCAGCGCCTGACGTCGGTCTTGCTCTCCTTACACACGAAACACGAGTGAATCCCTAGCAGACGGTTAAAGAGGGGCAGGGAACAAGAATTAAACTGTCGTCCCTGAGCCACCGAACTCCAGCAGCCCCGTCAGGGGCGGCCCGTGCGGCCGAGGCCTCGGGCTCTCTTCGGACCTCGGTGCCCGGTCCGAGCACGCTTCAGAAAACGGTCCCAACCATCAGGGCCGTTACCTTGCCGTGAGATGGGCTCCAGCTTCCCCGGAGGACAAGGAAGTCTGAGCAGGAGGCGGCTGAGGTGGGGACGCCCCCTCGAATTAGCGGGAAGCCGGAGAGCAGGCATTCCTCCGAAGGAAAGCTTTTGCTCTCCCTCCTGAGCCATCAACCAAGTACAGCGAACCTTCACTTAGAACCAACCACAGGCAGCAGAGGCGAGGTGCCGTCACATCGGATGGCCTTGGCTTGGGACTGGAGGGACTCGGGAAGACTCCACGTGTCTTCCTAACCTAGGACACGCGCCCACGAGAGCCAGGAGGCCCTCGGGGCTGCGTGTGGACAGGAGGGGCCGCATCTGAGCGGCCCCTCTTCCCAGCAGCCCCCAGAGTGCGCTGGCGAAGGAAGCGGTGCGGCAGAAGGAAGCCGTGGCCGCTCGGGGACGGGCACGTCCTTGCCGTTGACCCCGGAGTTCAGGTCCACGCCGCGTGTCTACGGAAGCCCACCTTCCCGTGAACGTCCATGTCCTGGGACTGACCGGCCAGCTCACCTGTACTGGTAACGCCGGGCCCTCTGACACCGGGGCACCCACGCCGGCCGCCTCCCAGCGCGGGGCTCAGGACAGCCCGTTCCGTCACTCTGCCGGTTACCTTACGCCGCTCTACCTCTCGGTACGGCCACCGAGGGGAGCG